CGCCTTGACGACGCCTGGCGTGTTGAGTTTGGTGACGACGTCGAGCGCCCTCGCTGGACGGATTTGCTTAGGTCCGGAGTTGCTATCTTTGACCTAGACTATGACGCTATTATCTCTGCCATGTATGCTTTGTCTTTTAGTGCTGAGGGTGACTGTTACCGGTGTGTGCCACCTGACCCAGGTATAGCGACTGCTGCTCTAGGTGCTAGTGCATCTGGTACTCCCCCTGGTACTGCGCCTGCTGAGGCCTTGCACAGCTTCACGTTTGACTACAGCGCCTCGTGCTGTTTCTTTCGTGACAGCACTACTCTCACTCCTCTCCCTGCACCTGTCCCGGTCAGATTGGCTGACCCCTCTTGGGGCCCGGTCGTTGCCTGTTCCTCCACTGTCCTCCTGTGTCCGGCGGTTCCGTCCGGCTCACTGTCAGGTCTTCACCTCCCCTCGTTCTCTACGAACTTGGTGAGTACCGCTGCCCTTCAGGATGCGATGGTCACTACCACCACTCCTGGGGGTCAACGTGTGTCGATCTGCACGTGCACACGGATGGGGCATCACCTGGCTACGTTCACTCGTCGGCCACGCTGGCTACCAAGCCTCCTCAGGTCGCTGCGTCTGCCCAGGTGTCCGCGTCAGGTCAGGTAGCCGCCTCTTGCTCGTGTCGCCTCCTGTCGCACAAGACTCTTCTTTGGCTCCACCGCCTGGGTCACCCCTCCCTGCCACGCCTTCGTGGCATGCACTACCGGTTTCTCGTCTCTGGTCTACCCATGTCTCTGCCTCCCCTCCCGCCCTCGCCTGCCCCGCCCTGCCTTCCTTGCGTCGAGGGGCGGCAGCGCGCTGCTCCTCACTCCTCCTCGTTTCCCCTGACGACTGCTCCCCTGCAGACTCTCCACATGGACGTGTGGGGCCCAGCCCGCGTCAGTGGACAGGGCCACGAGCGCTACTTTCTGCTGGTTGTTGATGACTACACGCGGTACACCACGGTCTTCCCCTTGCGCAGCAAGGGTGAGGTACGTGATGTCTTGATCCCTTGGATCCGCACAGTCCGTCTCTAGCTCCGCGAGCGCTTCGGTAAGGACCTTCCTGTCCTACGTCTGCACTCTAACAGAGGTGGTGAGTTCTCCTCCGACCTCTTGCATGACTTTTGTCGTGGGGAGGGCATTCTCCAATCGTTTCATGCTTCCGGAATCCCCTCAGCGAAATGGGATTGCTGAGCGCCGCATTGGCTTAGTCATGGAGGTCGCTCGTACCTCCATGATCCATGCGGCCGCTCCCCATTTTCTGTGGCCGTTTGCGGTCCGGTACGCTGCGCATCAGCTCAACCTCTGGCCCCGTGTCTCCTTGCCGGAGACCTCGCCCACACTGCGTTGGACGGGGAAGGTTGGCGATGCGTCGGTGTTCCGGGTCTGGGGTTCTCACCCTAGGCTCATCCCTAGGTGGGCCTAGACTTGGTTGCATGGGAGACATGGTGGGATCACGGGGTTGGCCTTGAACTTGGGCTTCTCCACTGCCACCAGCACCTCTGTCACCCCTTTCCTGAGGTCCAGCCATTGTCGAAACTGCTTCAAGGGGCTCTGATACCACTTGCTATAATCACAGTAGGCTTGAATGTGCCTAAAACGAAATATAGAGAGCACAGTCGGATTTCTGCACAATGCCTTTAAACGTTCATAGCGTTCTGGTCACAGCTGCAAATGACTTGATTCAACTTGGATCTGGAGCCTCTTAACGTCGCCTACAATAAGTATTTTAGATTGCAGGATTTCATTAAGAATGGACGACACAATTTCGGTTTGAACGAATGGCACTATGGCAACCACTTTAGTCTTAGAACACAAATTAGGAAGAGTTACGAGTTGGGAATGACTCCCAGCTCCTACAAACCCCAAGAGCCGAGGTATAGTGATGTGGAACAGTGCCACACTGTCCCCAACCATGAAGGGTCTCGAAACTACCCTCCACAAGGGCCTACACCAAGAGAAATGTTACACTACACATGGTGATGTAACTATTCTCACTATCTTGAAGTTTACCCTTTTGGAGAGCTTCGAAATCACTTGAATCTTGAAACCAAGGCTCTGGTTCTTCAAGATAAATTCTTCCTTGAGTTCTTGGAAGTCTGCTGCGCACACCTGCGACAAAATAGAAAACCGCACACGACACGCAAACGTCGACGTCACACGGGACTAGCGATAACTCGCTATTGACTCGACACACACATTCAAAATCATGCCTCATCATTCACACACTATTGTAAGCATGAAATATATATTATTTCATGCCCTCATACCATTCTATGCACACACGCATGCACGCACACGGACAACAAGCCGAATGCAAACTGTAGGGTTGCATCAGCAAGAGGTTCCACTCCTTTCTTCATTATTGTCTACGTGAACAACTTGGTCTTCGCCTCGGCTGACACTGTTTCTCTGGCTGAGGTGAAGTCCGAACTGCAGAAGAGACACACGTGCACTGACCTGGGTGAACGACCCCAGTACTTTGGCTTGCAGATCATCAATGATAGAGCCGCTCGCACCATCAGTCTGACTCAGTCACACATGGTGGAGCAGGTCCTGCGGCGGTTCGGGTTTTAGTTCTGCACCACACAGTCCACTCCACTTGCTTTTGACCACAGACTCACCGGCCCTTTTCCCGACGAGCCCTTTGAGTCTAGTTGTCCCTACGAAGAGCTTGTGGGCTGCCTCATCTTCCTGATGACTTGTATTCGTCCGGACCTTGCCTTTCCTTCTGCATCCTTTCTCGCTTTGTTGCGAGTGGGAGACACCGTCCTGTTCACTGGACGGCAGCTGTGAGGGTGGCGAAGTACCTGGCGACTACATCAGGCTTGAGGCTTGTGCTTGGCGGGAGAGAGACAACTGTGCTGACCGTTCATTGAGACTCTTCTTACGCCGACGACGTGGAGACACAGTGGTCGACTCACGGCTGCTGTTTCAGCCCAGATGCTGGATCTGTGTCGTGGCGGTCTGCTCGGTCGTCGTCTGTGGCTACCTCTAGTGCTGAGGCTAAGATCTATGAAGATTCCATGGCTGCACATGACCTTTGTTTTTTGACTTTCTGACTTACCAACCTTAGTGAGCTGCCTCGCTCTGCACCGACCTTGTTCGCTGACAACAAGGCCATGATTCTCCTGTGTCGAGAGCCTCGTCTGGTTGCAGGTGCTCGCAGATGATTGGCCCGATATGCACTGTCACCCATCATGTCGGCTGTTGTCTATGCCCGATGAGCCACACCGACTTCGGGATACCAGCCCGAAGTCGTCATCGTCATTGCAGCCTCGACGGCGTTCGCTTGCCTCCGCAGAACCTCGTAGGGGAGGTAACGACCGGGTCGGCCACCCCGTGCCCTGGTCGACGACCTCTCTCGTCGACCAGCACTCGGTCGAGGACCATCCTAGTCGACGGGCCCCTCCGTTGACCAACACGGCTCCTTTGACAGTCCCACGCAAGTCGACGACCCCTTCGTCAACCTCCCCGTCGAACTAGGCCGCCGGCTCTCGCGCACGGCGACCTCACAGCGGTCGACCCACTCTGTTGACCAGCCCGCGTCCACCCCGGATGGTCGGCTGCACCTCCCGCGCACGCGACCACAACGTCGGCTTCGCCCAAGCGAGGGCGGGGCCAACACTCAATTCCCGTCAATAGGCAGAGCAGGAGCGAGTTAGAAGCAGAACAAGAGCTGGCAAAGGCTGAAGAGCGTCTCATGGTTGGAATGTAACAATGTCGGGCAAAAGGGGCACGGGAGAGGCTAGAGGCTGAATCCACGGCAAGGGTAGAGCCGAGGCATTGGGGCGGGTACTGGAGGAGGATGCGTTGAGCACAAGGGAGTATGCAAAATAGGAGAAGGAATCTAAAGAGGGTACTGCAATGCGGGTCTTGGATGATGAGACAGAACGGGCTATAGCCGAGGAGGAGCGGAGGTTGACATAAGCGGAGCGAGAAAGAGCTTTGGCTGCAGACAGAGCAATTCTGGAGGTCGAGACATTGCGCCGTAGATGGGACGAGCAGGAGGGCGCTCGTCATGTAAGACTTCAAGCAGAGATGGAAAGGGTCGAGCCGGATGAGAGGATGTCAGCGCAACAGGCAGGTGATGAAGTGGGGAGGGCTGTGGTTGAAGTGCGTGAGCACTTTTGTCAGACAGGCCGCGATAGTGGAAGGGCGCAGGTAGATCGAGAATGGGGGGAAGCCGAGACCGCACTGCGGGAAAGCGTCATGCAAGGAGCGGCGATATTGGATGAGACAGATGACGGGCTTGTAGAGGCGGGAGAAAACGATGCTGGTAGAGGTATGGATGGTACATGCGAGGTTCTACGCCGGCTTACCCAAGTCGCGCAGGATGTCGCCAACAGCTCCGCACAACAGAATGCAAGGATTAGTGGGAACCTCTGCCAACTTCAATCCGCATGTACGTGCATTGCCCGCTGGACTGAGGTCTATAACAAAGACACAGAAAACGTGCTACAAGTGTATAGAGAAGCAAAGGCAATCGCAATCATGGAGCGCCAGAGAGCTGCGCAGACTAGGACGGAAATTAACACTTCGACCGAAGGGCTCCATCGCACAGTAGTTGAACTGATCCAGCGTGCAGTGGCAAGGGAGTACGAGGCGCTATTGAGGTCAATGAAGGAGAATGTGAAAGAGGGGGTGGACGCGGCAATGGGCCCGGTGGAGATGGAGGGAAGGCTTAGGGTGGTTCTGCCCTACGACTACATGGAGACGATGAAGAAGGCCATGGTCGCCAACCTCCAAGAAACACTAGCGGATGTCAAATCGGCGATGGCTGAAAACTGCAAGAAGTTGGCAAGTTTGAAAGCCGAGATTCTGGTAGCGGTGGACGAGAAACTCTCATGGAGGATAGACGTCGGGCAATTTCCGTACGTTCCACCAATCTTTACAAATACAATCGCTGGACGTGGCTTGGGGCAGCAGCCAAATCCGATGCATGGTCCGCATTTTCTCCAAACTTTTGCGAGTGACACCTCCCTAGATGCTGCACTCGCCAACATGGTTGAGAGATGGGGCTTTACGAGCGAAGAGGGGAGGTTGGAGACAGATACGCATACAGAGAGGGGAACAGAAATGGTAAATGCGGTGGACAATGCAGAGGATCATCACCCATCGTTTGAGGTAGAGGGGAGAAGAGTGGAAGCTGGGGAGCGGGATAGAAGAGTCGAACTGCAAACAGCAGCAAAGAAACGACGTGTAGAGTACGTCATACCAACCGCAGGTGAGGAAGGTCTTGCAGGAGAGGAGACAGGGCGACGGGTCAAGGGAGAGTCGGAACGGGTGAGAGGTGAAGGGGAGGCGCATGTGAGACCTATCGAACACGGCGATGCGGCCATGAGGGGGCGTGCAGAGAATAACATAGCAAGGACGAATGTGGAACGTGCTAGGAAGGAGGCAGAGCGAAAGCGGCGTGAGGAAGAAGCGGAGTGGCAAAGAGTGGTAGAGGAGGCGAGACAAATACTCAAACAGGAACGGGTGACCGCGCAGAGGCGTGCAGCAAGGGCAGTAGCACTTGAGATGGCGGAGGCAAGGCGAAAGCGCCTTGAGGAGGCTACACGGGAGAGGGCGGAAGCTGAACGGCGGCAGAGGGAAATGGAGTTAGAGGAAAAGCGAGTGGAGGATGAGCGGGCGCGTTTGGTAATGGAGGACGAGTAGGAGAGGACGGAGGCGCATCAGCGGCACAGTGATAGCGAGGCAGATGTAAGGGGAACAGAGACCGTGAGTCGCAATGGAGAAGGGGTCCTCGAATGGCATGAAGGGGATTCAGAGGGAGGAAGGGGACGAGGAGAATTGGCTCGACAAGATGCCAAACCAACAATTCGAACATCCCTGCCTGGGGAGATAGCACGACAAGGAATATCGATTTCCGCTGGCTTGGTGGAGAGGATTAGGACGGCGCAGCAGGTCGTTGCGCAGTCGACAAAGGGGGTAATGGCTTCTCTACCATTGCTGCCAATCAACGTGCAAGAACTTACTGAGTGTGGCTTGAATTCTCCCCTTCTTGGCCTTGCGATGGTGGTTGGCACTGCAAAGGTCGTTGTCTCTGTGCAGATCGTTGGCCCTGTGAGTGTCGTTGGCTCTGCGCAGATCACTGATCATAAAAGGTCGCCGGCCCCGCGAGGGTCGTCTACCCCACGCAGAGCGTTGGCCTTGTGAAGGTCATTGGTCCAGTGCAGGTCGTTGGCCTTGAGACGGTCGAGTGGGGTTTGAATGCTCAACACCTACACCTGCAGATGCTCTCACCCTCCTAACCCTGCTCATCTCTTTCCCCCTCCTCCATGCCATCGTCACTAGCATCGCTAAAATCGGTCTTCGTCTCTTCATCGTCCTCGTCATCCGATCTGTCATCATCGTTGTCTCCCTCGCCTGCGTCCATATACTCGGTGTCCTCCACTTCATCGACCTCTTCATCGTCCTCTTCATCCGCCTGCCCTTCTTGATCGTTATGGATCGCGTCGCCATGTTCGGACTCCGTCTCTTCATCGTCCGCTTCCTCTACACCTGCTTCCGGGCCTCCCACGTCTTCACGGTCCCCTTCCTCTGCACCTGCTTCCGGGCCTCCCTCTTCTCCACCTGCCCATTCCTCTGCACCTGGTGCTGGGCCTCCCTCTTCTTCAGCAGCCGCGTTCCCCTCTTCTACGACTTGCTCTCGAGTCTCTGCAAAACCGCCCCACGTGTCTTCACAATCGACATCGTAGATGAGATCATGGCCTGCATCCTGTGCCAGGTCATCATCGGCTTCCGATAATTCGTCGACGTCCTCCTCCTCGCACCCGCTCATTTGTCGCCATAAAGCATCGAGCCAATCGATCCCACCTCTGACCATTGTACTCTACACTGAACTAAACCGCGCCTAACTAGGTAAAGCTCATATCGGTTCGGCAGAATCGTGGTGCATGCAAAAACGAACCTACCTACGGGGGTATCGCTGATAACGAAGAGAGGTCGCTCAATGACAAATCGATAGATGTACGAGGTCAGGGCGCAGCAGTGGTTTCGTTGATAAAGCAAGTATAAAATATGTAAAGTGAGGGATCCGTGGAGATCTAAACTATCGTAATCCCCCGATATAACACCCTAGGGTGTTATGTAAATCTCCTTGTAAAAAGAGGGGGAGGGGGGGGGGTGGGGGGGGGGGGGGGGGTGGGAGGGGGGGTCTTAACAAAGGAAAAAAATATACTACTGTTAATACTGATCTTGGGGGTGTGCTTTTCATATGACATATTTTGTTTAGTATTTTGAACACAACTATTAATACTGATCCTGGGGGTGTGCTTTTGGTGAGCAACAAGGCAGCGGATCGTTGTTCGCTTGGAATGACCCTTGACCAGTCACAACGTTGCTGGAAACCCTTGACTAGTCACAACGCATTCGCCTCAGACAGCAAAATTCCCTCCCCCCCCCTCCCCTCACGGAGAAAATTCGCCCCCTGACACAAAAAATCCGCCCCCTGCCGCAGCAAATTCGCCCCTGGCGCAGCAGATTCACCCCCTGACATTTCGAATTCACCACCCGATAGTCCAATTACGTATCATAATGTGTTTCGGTTTAAATTGTTGTTTGAAAATCTACATGGAAACCCCCTTATAGATGAAAGGGGAGGATCTTTTATTGTTCACCCCTCAAAAGGTGGGTATAACGATTTCGAGGCTTAATAAATACTCCCCCTCGTATTACCTACCCTGGGGTGTTCTATTTTGGGGGGGTCCTATATCTGGGGGATTACGGTATTGGGACAATGTAGAGAGGCGGCGGACCGTAATGTCATTGAAGAGTGAAAGATTCTACCCCAATGGCTCTTTCTGGGGAAACACTTTTGAATTGTTTAGAGCAGTTGGCAGATGAAGAGGCAGATTTACTGATGAGTGTTACGGCAGATAACGGAAAATTGGTATTGTGGAGATATTACTCAGTAGTAGACAAGAGTATCAGATACGAAATGCGGAAACTGCTAAACTATCGTGTTGCAGAAATGCTATCGAGATGCTTCTACACCTGCCACGACGTCGATTTCAGCTCGAGCTGCAGAATCTATGTTCTAATCTTCAATCGGAAACTTGGACGGTCGGGCTGCCAAAAAAACAAACACCCGCACTACACTAATCGTCTACGCAAAACCGGATCAAGGATGACGACCGTCTGCAAACTTTTTATGAGCAGAGAAATGGGAGATTATAGGCCGAGGGGGTGGGGTGTTGAATACATAGCGAAAAAAATCGTTGAAGCGGGTGCTACTGCACTTGTTGGACCTCACATTGGCCCTCATGGAAAAACATGAACAAGGAAAAAAAGAAACAGAATGAGGGTGACAACCAGCTTTGAAGCCACACTATGACCCGAATCCACTAATCAGGTTGCCCGGTTTTCAGATCTGGATCTCATGGCCACCCGCCAATTTCAGGGTTGAAGGTTGGCTTCTGATGAATTGGGGATGTTTTCGACTGGTATTAGTTCTTGCCACAGAGGAGAAACCTGGTCGACGATTGGTCGACCCAGTTTTGGCAGGCAGAATACATCGTGTTGTCGATAAGAGATAAGTGAATATATTCGATTCCTTGCTACTGTACGAGTTGCAACTCATTTGCTTAGTGGTGGCGGCAGTAGAGCGACAAGCGGTGTCTCTTCGTCGGAACAATGTCGAATATTGTTGACTCTTCTTTACGTAACAAATCTTCTAGGTTGTTTACAGCATGATTCCGACCGCGAAGATTCGCGCGACGGCGACTGCTCTTTTACGTAAAACCGCATCGGGTGGGCTTGCACAGGGCTGACGTTTCAGTTTCTGGGCTCCCTGATGGGAAAGAAAAAATACCGTCAATTCTGAAGGCACTTTGGCCAAAAAATGGCCACTCTGGTTGCTCAGTCTCGAGAAAATGCATTGTCTGTCCACTCAGGGTTGGTGAGTTCGATTCAGGGTCGTGGAGTCGGTGTATTGTCTGTTGCAAATTTTCTGTCATGCACAAGCCAAAATGTCAAGGCTTGCGCTGACTGTTGCAGTAATGTAGCGCATGATCGAGTGGCAACAGTGTGATGCTGCAACAGTCGGCGTCGCGCCACTACATTTGCGCTGACTGTTGCAGTCACGTGGGATGCTGGCAAATGCAAGTGGCGCGACCTTGCAAGTGTCACTTGGGCGAGCTGCCACGCGTAAGCTGATAGCACGCAAAACCTGTTGCTTGGTGCTGGAGAATCTGGCAGTGCCGCAAGTACAAATTGCCATGCAGCATATTTTTTTAACCTACAAATCAGCAAACATTTTGACCTATTACACTCTGTGTGCGCCAAGGTGATTTCCCTTAATTAATACTCTAAGCACCAAACAGTGCGATAAATTACATATGGCAACATTTTCTCTCCTAAAAGATTCGCTTTTAGATAAATTACATCTATTGTTTTTGCTCAGTTTTGTCTTACGCTGCACCGATAATTTCGTGACATACCCGATGATTGAGTGTATGTTTAAACTAGGAATGATGATGGCATTAGGTCATGAGGGGAGTACAAGTACAATGTCAAGAGTAATCTTGTACGCCTTAAGGCTAAATCCACTACAGCCTAAGTAAACTTAAACATATATGTTTTGACACACCCCCATAGACTCAAGTTGGTGCAGATCCGCCTGCACCGCCTCTTCCTGCTTCCCCAGCGCCTCTCACGCCACCACTGCCATTAGGACCAGCTGGAGCAGAACCTTCAGCCTCCATATTGACCCAGGAACAGAGAATAACCGCTCTGATACCACTTGTTATAGTCTTGAGTCCACTTAGGGGTCGCGGATGCCCTTGAAACCGCCTAGGCAGAATCTGATGACTTCGAACCGCCTCTGTTCAAAACTGCGTCACGATCAGCTCCTTTAACATACGAGGCTGAAACTTAGAGGAAAGTTAGCTTCAGATGTCTGCTTTCCAACGGTGTATTGCTTGCTTTCATCTGAGGTGTATGCGCTACGCAGTGAACGAAAACGTGAGCTCGGCTGAAAAAAGTGTAGTTTCATTGATGCAAGGAAGAGGTGAGTACAACATTGCCTAGGGGACTCTTAAAGTGTTGGGACCATCCTGGGAACTCAGAGAAGGTTGAGTCCTAAGGGAGAAAGGCTAGAGAAGGATGGGAAACGTCCTAGCTAGGTCAGCAAAGCCAACCACACTTGGATGTTCAGAGCTGTACTCAAGGCTACCAATAGTGAGTCAAGCCAACCATGAGTCAGCTTGTCTTCCCACTTGCACCCTCTTGCAAGCTGCTTCCAGGAAGACCACACTTCTCAAAAGGAGGGTGGTAGAGTCCCACTTAACCACCTGTACTTCTTGTCTCATTCTCTGTCCCTGCACCATTGGCATGACAACAATGAAAGGGTGGCAAGGGAAATGCTGCCAACAGTGCACCATGACTACGGAACAGTAAATTTCGACAGCTGTCACGTGCTGCTCCGATGCTGGGTTGTCCTGAAACTCGGTGACCACCTGCAGAACACGGCAAACGACTGCCACACCGATTTTCAGACCAATCAGAGCTTGATAGATGAGTCAGAAGCCGAAATGGTGAACTCGGGTGTTACCAAAAAAAGAGTAACACACACTTCCGGGATGCCATAAGTCTTGAAACTACAAATGTTGCCATGCCTTGTAAACTGCTTAAAAAAATCTGAAACTTTGAGGGTCTGAAGAACACATGTTGAAGCACCTCCCCACAAAATTCCAGAATCTGAGCAGGCTTGTAGGCGGAATGGGAGTGTGATGACCGTGCCACTATAGTGCTTTGGCACAACAAACTCCCCCTCATCGTGCTCTCATTCATCCCTTAGCTTCTCCCTGAAAATGCCTCCCTTAGTTGAAGGACATGCCACAGAAGGTGGCGTAGCTCCAATGCTGATGCTCTGCAAGCCACTTAGTCAAGAAACCTGCAGGTTGCTTGGTAGTGTTGATGTAGTGCAAGGAGATGGTGCCCTTCTTCACCTCCTTCCTCACCCAATGCCACTTGATATGCATGTGCTTGTTCAGGCCATGGAGCACAGCATTATGCGTCATTGCAATTGCTCCTTGGATTTCACAAAACACAGGTGTATGACCCTCTTGCTCCTGCCCCAACTCCTCAAGCAACCTCCTCATCCAAACCACCTCTTTTTCTCCATGAAACAACGCCATGTACTCGCTCTCTGTTGATGAGTGAGCTATCTCTCCTTGCTTCTTAGACTTCCAGCTCACTAGACTCCCTCCAACACAGCATATATAACCACCATGGGATGTAGCATCACTGATGTCACTTGCCCAGGTAGCATCGGTGAAGCACGAGAGGTACAAGTGCCCACGCCTTGCAGGTGCACCAGTCTTTGTGCTCACCTCCTCCACTCCCTTTTGCTTCAGCTGCCCATGCACTGAATATTGCAGCCCCACCTTCGAGGTTGCCATGCAGTACCTCACTAGCCTCTCTGCTGCATCCAGGTGCTCTTGAAGGGGCCTAGACACCACATGAGCAAGCTGTGAAACTGAAAACGCAATGTCGGGGCGAGTGTTGACCGAAGCGTACATCAAGCTCCCCACCATTGACTGGAACCGACGCTGCAACTCGTACTCCAACACCTCACCCTCCTCTTCATCAAGGTGCAGCTGAAACCCTGAAGGTAGAGGAGTCTTCACACTCCTCCCTTCCTCCAGCCCATACTTCTCCCCCATGGCTGCAAGGTACTTGTGTTGGTGAAGCCTCAACCATCCCTTCACCTCGTCCCGCTCCACGTGAAGACCAAGGTAATACCCCACTAGTCCAAGGGCCTTGCATTGAAAGGTCTCCTTCAGCTTCCCTTGCACCTCCTTGATCCTCTCCAGGGATGGTGAG